TTTAATGAGAGGCTGGATGTACGTGGCATGGGATGCTGCCACCTCATGCCTCTTAGGGGCACCAGCAGCTGCACTGAGATTTGATTATGGCTTTGAGAATCATAGAAGTACAGAATTGTAAGGGTTGGAAGGGCCCTCTGGAGATCATCTAGTCCAACCCCCTGATAAAGCTGGGTCACCCAGAGTAGGTCGCACAGGAACACATCCAGGTGGGGTTTGAATGTCTCCAGAGAAGGAGACCCCCACACCCTCTCTGGGCAGCCTCTGCCAGGGCTCTGCCACCCTCACAGGAAAGAGGTTTTTCCTCGTGTTGAGGTGGAATTTCCTGTGTCCCAGTGTGTGCCAGTCCTGTCACCGGGTGACACTGAGAAGACCCTGGCCCCATCCTCTTGCCACCTGCCATTTAGCTATTGCTCAGCATCGATGAGGTCCCCTCTCAGTCTGCTCTTCTCCACCTGAACAGCCCCAGGTCCCTCAGCCTTTCCTCAGCAGAGAGATGCTCCAGTCCCTCATCATCTTCATAACCTCCGCTGGACTCTCTCCAGCAGTTCCCCTGTCCTTCTTGAACTGGGGAGCCCAGAACTGGATCCAGTGCTCCATATGGGACCTCCCCAGGGCAGAGCAGAGGGGGAGGATGATCTCCCTTCACCTGCGGCCACGCTCCTTCTAATGCACCCCAGGAACATGACGGGGAGATCCACCAGTCCCGAGCTGGTGAGATCTGCCTGTCGAGCCAGTCAGCCCCTGCCTTCCCCCACGTAGCCCAGTCCTGCACCAACATGCCCTGGAAAGAGGCCAAATAATTTTCATACCTGGGTGTCCCCCCCCAACCCTCCCCGTCCTTATCTCCATAAACAGCGACGGAGCAAAGAGTCAAGGTCGGGAAGCGGGAGTCTGCCGGAGTTCATGTGGTGGCCAGGAGCTTTTTTGGCACGGAGGAAAACGGGGAGGGGGGGTGTGCTCTTGTGCCAAGACAATGACTCCTCGCTGTTTGGATGCCAGAAAAATAATCCTATTTATGTAACTCCAAGTGAAGCATTCCAGTGCATGAATATTCAGCTCTTCGTGCAAATAGGAAGCTCTTCTACCTGCAGGATTTAACTCTCAAGCTGTCATCCCAGCCCAAATCTTGCCCTGTGGCCTCTGGTGCTTTTTTTTTGATAGTAGAAGGTTTTATTTTTATTTTTTTTCACTGAGCAGCGTTTGCATATGATTATTTTTTTTTTCCCCTCTGCTTTTCCTGGCATTAATGTCTCATGTTTCCTTTGTCTTTCTAGGCAGCGGACCCATCCAACTGTGGCAATTCCTGCTGGAACTGCTCACTGACAAGTCCTGTCAGTCCTTCATCAGCTGGACGGGTGATGGCTGGGAATTCAAGCTTTCTGATCCAGACGAGGTAGAGTGCCCTGGGATTAAGTGCACATCCCAAATTCCTCTAAAATATCGGTGTGGATCACCTTCCCCTCCTCCCTACAGGGCTGAGATTTGGGCAGTCATGTTGTTCTGCTCTTGGGTATGTGCAGGGGAAAACAAGGAATTAGAGCCCAGCTGTAAACTTGTTAAAAATTGGGCTGCAATAAAACCTCAGAAGCAGAAATTTGTGCCCAGAGTCAGTGGGAAGTAGCTGAAACTGCAGAGAGAGGCGTAGTGCCAAAAATCTGCTATAGGATGTGTGCAGGTGAGAGAGATGGCTTCCCACTGATTTTGGGGAAAGGATGGTACATTCATTCCCTTCCCTGATTTACATATCCTCATATTGTCCTCTGCAATGTTCTACTGTTGCATGGAGGTTGGTTTTCCCAATCTTTAATCCCTGTGACCCATCCATGTCCATCTTGAAGATGAGCAGTGTCCTCTTCCTTCCCTCATGTCCTGCTTCTTGCCGATTCCTACAAAGTCAAATTGATTTTACCCTGTTCCCTTCTCTGACGTATATCCTCACAGAGTCCTCTGCAATCTTCTACCATTGCATGGAGTTTGGTTTTCCCAATCTTTAGTCCCTGTGACCCATCTGTCTCCATCTTAAAGACAAGGAAAGTCCTCTTCCTTCTCTCATGTCCAGCACTGATGCCTGCCCAACCAAACCAGATTGATTTTCCCTTATTTTCTTCCCTGACTTATATATAATATATCCTCACAGAGTCCCCTGCAATGTTCTACCATCACATGGAGGTTGTTTTTCCCAGTTGTTAATCCTTATGACCCATCCATGTCCATCTTGAAGATGAACAATGTCCTCTCCCTTCCCTCATGTCCTGCTTCTTGTTGATTCCTACCCAACAAAGTAGAATCGATTTTACCCTGACATATATCCTCATGGAGTCCTCTGCAATGCTCTATCATCACATGGAGCTTGGTTTTCCCAATCTTTAATCCTTGTGACCCTTCCATGTCCCTTCCCTCATGTCCTGCTTCTTGTCAATTCCTACTCAACAAAGTTAGATTGATTTTACCCTGTTCCCTTCCCTGATTTATATATCCTCATAGAGTCTTCTGCAATGCTCTTCCATCACATGGAGCTTGGTTTTCCCAATCTTTAATCCTTGTGACCCATGTGCATCCATCTTAAAAATGAGGAGAGTCCTCTCCCTTCCCTCATGTCCTGCTTCTTGTCGATTCCTACCCAACAAAGTCAAATTGATTTTACCCTAACATATATCCTCATAGAGTCCTCTGCAATGCTCTACCATCACATGGAGCTTGGTTTTCCCAATCTTTAATCCTTGTGACCCATGTGCATCCATCTTAAAAATGAGGAGAGTCCTCTCCCTTCCCTCGTGTCCAGCACCGATGCCTGCTCAACCAAACCAGATTGGTTTTCCCTTGTTCCCTTCCCTGACATATATCCATATAGAGTCCTCTGCAATGCTCTACCATCACATGGAGCTTGGTTTTCCCAATCTTTAATCCCTGTGACCCATCTGTGTCCATTTTAAAGACAAGGAAAGTCGTCTCCCTTCCCTCATGTCCAGCACTGATGCCTGCCCAACCAAGCCAGATTGATTTTCCTGCTTTCTCTTCCCTGACTTATATATCCTCATATTGTCATCTGCAATGTTCTACCATCACATGGAGGCTGGTTTTCCCAGTCGTAAATCCTTGTGACCCATCCATGTCCATCTTGAAGATGAGCAATGTCCTCTCCCTTCCCTCATGTCCTGCTTCTTGCTGATTCCTACCCAACAAAGTAGAATCGATTTTACCCTGACATATATCCTCATGGAGTCCTCTGCAATGCTCTATCATCACATGGAGCTTGGTTTTCCCAATCTTTAATCCTTGTGACCCATCCATGTCCATCTTGAAGATGAGCAATGTCTTCTCCCTTCCCTCATGTCCTGCTTCTTGCCAGTTCCTACTCAACAAAATCAAATTGATTTTACCCTGTTCCCTTCTCTGACTTATATCCTCATAGAGTCCTCTGCAATGCTCTACCATCACATGGAGCTTGGTTTTCCCAATCTTTAATCCCTGTGACCCATCTGTGTCCATCTTAAAGACAAGGAAAGTCCTCTCCCTTCCCTCGTGTCCAGCACCGATGCTTGCCCAACCAAACCAGATTGGTTTTCCCTTCTGACATATATCCATATAGAGTCCTCTTCAATGCTCTACCATCACATGGAGCTTGGTCTTCCCAATCTTTAATCCCCATGACCCATCTGTGCCCATTTTAAAGACAAGGAATGTCCTCTCCCTTCCATCTTTTCCTGCACCAATGCCTGCCCAACCAAGCCAGACTGATTTTTCCTTCCCTTCCCTGCGATGACCCCGCCTTGACTCTCCTCACCCTTCTCCCAGGTGGCCAGGCGATGGGGCAAGAGGAAAAACAAGCCCAAGATGAACTACGAGAAGCTGAGCCGCGGCTTGCGCTACTACTACGACAAGAACATCATCCACAAGACGGCCGGGAAACGCTACGTCTACCGTTTCGTCTGCGACCTGCAGAGCCTGCTGGGCTACACGCCCGAGGAGCTCCACGCCATGCTGGACGTCAAGCCCGACGCCGATGAGTGAAGACGGGTGGGCCAGGGGGAAGGATCACCCCGTGTCGTTTCGAAGAGTCGATGGGACTTTTTCTGTTGGTTCTTTTTTTTTTTTTTTTTTAATTTTTTTTTTTTTTTTCTTTTTTTTTTTTTTTTTTTTGTTTTTTTTTTTTAAAAAGCAACAGATATTCTCCTGAAGTTTTTTTTTATTTTTGCTGTTATTTCTGTTGTTCGTTGTTTTTTTTTTTATTTCGAAAAAGAGTAACTCAGATTTGATGCTTTGAGGATGTTGGGAGAGAGGGTGGCGGAAGAGGCAAACTTTTGGTCGAAAGCTAAAAAGTTTGGTTCGGAAAAGGATGGGCTTTTTCTTTCCTGAAAGCTCCAAGACAGGCTTTTTTGGGGGTGAAATTCTGAGTTTTAAGAAAGCCAGAAAAATGTAGCTCACTTAAAAAACCAACCAACCAACCCCTCCCCGTCCCTTGCTGTTTAGAAAAAATATTATCAAATGGATCCCTTCGTTTTTTGTGTCGTTCACACACAAACTGACAGTTCAGGAAATGACAGTGTTCCCGAGGATTGAGGATTTCAAACTTTTTTTTTGGGGTGGGAACACCAATGTGGGTGAATATTCCTGCTTCGGGGAGGGGCAATATAGGAAAAAAACAAGAACTCTTTGTTGTTCTTGTTACATCGCCTTTCTGTCGGTTGTCGGCTTTTCTACAAAAGACAGAATTTTTGCTTGGAAGGGATCAAAACTTTTTTTAAAAAAAAATTGTTAAAGTTTTATTTTATTAAATTTTGTGCCAGTATTTTTTTTTTTTAAATAGTCTTAAGCTCTAAGATGGTCTCAGTATTGCAATATTGTGTGTGTTTGTTTCTGTTATGCCAGCAGAGAGTTTTATCAGTGAGGAAAAAGTGGAAAAAAAAAAGAAAAAAAAGAAAAAAAAAAAGCAAATTAGTTTATGTAGACCCCACTGGAGAAATGTAGAGCTCTGGCTTGGCAGCTCCGAATCGTATGTGAAGGAAAATTGAACTCCAAACTGGCTCCTGGTGGCCACACGCTTTGCTCTGCTGTTTGCTGATAAAGCTGGTTGAAATTTCTGCCTTTTTTTAATTCATCCTTAAAAACGGGGGCTGTTTTCGTGCACGAAACCCATCAAGATTTGCAGGGAATATGTCTTTTTTATGCATTTTCTAAATAACTTTTTTTTTTTTTGCATTTTCCAAATCACTTTTTTTTTTGCTCAAGGAAAACTTTGGTGCTTTCAGAATATTTTTTTTTATATATATATATTTGGAGGGGAAAGGGGAGAAACTCCCCCATTTTGAATGTGGTAAATGGAAAATATCTAAGTTGATTGGGGGAAAAAAATCAGGAAAAAATTGAAAAACCAAAGGGAAATGTTTTTTCCTTCCTGTTTCGACCAGCTCTATCTTTATTGCTGTGTGTCTTAAGCAGCCTGGGTGCACGCGGAAGGGAAATTGTCCTTGCAAATGGGTTCTTTACTGCTTTTTGTGGGGCTGATCCAGCAAACCTGGGCAGGGAGTGATTATGACTGGGGCAAACGAGAGGTCTCCTGGGCTTGCCCGAGGGGGTCGGTCCTGGGGGGGAAGAGCTGCTCCATCTTTCCTCCAACCCCTTTGCCTTCAGAGTGTTAAATCCTGCTGCTCCAAGCAATTCCCAGGATGCTCAGTGTGAGTTAGAGGATGGGGCAGTGATTCCAAAACCCCATCTGACCCCTGTGTGGATGCCGAAATGTGGGTCTTTGGCCCCCGAGAGCCACAGGGCGCTGTGTTTTTTTTTTAAAGACAGTAATTACGCATTTGAACCAAAAGTACCTTCTCTTTTTTTTTTTTTTACCTTGAATTTCTAAACTTGATCTATCTAGCAAAGTATTACACTGTAAAGCATTGTGTCTCTATTGCTTCATTATTGAAGTTGTATTAAATATTATAAGAATCTATTGATCATTAATAATACTGGACTTTGTTCAAAGCTTGGATAAGTTCCTGTGGTTTGACCATTCCAGAGCATTAGACAGGGAAAAAAATTAGATTAGGTTAGAGATTAAATAAGCAATTAGTACATAGAATAACTAGAAAAGAGCTGATTCTCAGTGAATTGGGATAGACTCAATGATTGCATGAATCTCCCTGATTTACAAGTGTGTTAAATCTGTTTCTGTTCCTGTTTCTGTTCTTGGTTAATAAGCCATAATTTTCATAAGAAATGCAGAATCTCTTAGTTCATCCTTCAGGACAAGTGGTGCATAAATCAATTATATCCAAAGTTGGTATTTGAACAATTAAGTTTTGATTTAGGTACCTGTATATCTATGAAAACATCCAAACTGGTGACTTAGATTTCACACAATGGTGCACTCATTTGCAAAGCAGAATCCTCCCTCTTTTACTTTTGCATTTCCCCTCTCTTTTTCTCCCTCTCTCTCTTTCTCTATCTCTTTCAAAAAAATGCCTATCCCCCCTCAGTCATGTGGTATACACATGGATATCGTGGATGAGGTCCCCCCATCGACAGGGCACAGGGGGCAGAGCCAAGGGGGACACATGGATATCGTGGATGAGGTCCCTCCATCAACAGGGCACGGAGGGCAGAGCCAAGGCTCGCTGGGCCAGAATTGGGCAAGATGTTCAAGAGCAATTAAAAGAGCATCCCAACATCTCCTGGGGAGGGTTTGCAGCAGCTGGGTGGGTTTTTTTAAGGCATTCAGGGTTGCTGCCTTGCCTGCAGCTGCAAAGTGCTCTTCTCTTACCCTTCAGGGCTTTGAACCGTCCCCCCTCTCCCCGACACCCTTGGAAAGGGTGCTGCCAGGACACCAGCCCCCCCAGCTCCTGCCCTGGGTACCACATCGTGCCCTGGGACAGGGCTTCTGCTTTGCTCGGATGCTCCACTGCAGCTCAAGTGCCTTTTTCGAGCAGAAAACAGGGATAAAGTTTCCCTCCGCTGGATGAAGACGCGGGTTCGGGTACCAGCCCCATCCTTCTAAATTCCTCCCCGGCCCCGCTGGGCTTATTTTTTCCAGGTGAACCTGTGTGTTCCCAGTGATTTTGGGAAGAGGGTCTGAAGGTTCAAAAGGGCGAGTGGTGGAAAGCAGCTCTGGTTTCTGGAAGTAGCCCCCAGCTGGAGCTTCTCCGTGGTTTCTCCTGGCCGTTTTGCCATCCCAGCTCACAACCTGTGGGCAAGGGCAGGAGCAGAAGGGCCTTTCCTCATTTTTCCATTTTCCTCTCACTTCTTATTCCCAGTCTAGAGACCATCCCGGAGAGGGCTGTGTGCTGTTTATACACTGGAAATGTGCAGATTTGTTTTTGTTTCTTTTTTTTTTTTTTTTCCCCTTTAATTTTTTCTTTCTGCTTTTTCATTGCGTGTTGACTTCTGGTGAGGGATGTGCTGGAACCCAAACCCTCCTGGTTTTTGAGGCCATGAAACTTTGGTTTAAACCCACCCCCACACCCCCCACCACGTGCTGGACCAGAAAAGATGGTTTTGAGAGGGGCTGATGGAGATCTGCCGGGGATGGGACTCGCTCTGTGCTGGGCTCTGGGAGGGGAAGAGCTTCACCCTCAGCAGATGCACATGACTTTTGGAAATGGGGTAATTTTGTCTTGTTTTGGAATGTCTCAGGTGCTTTTGGTGATTTTTTTTTGGGGGGGGCATATTTTCTGTGTCCTGCTCCTGATCTGCTGTTCTCCACGTGGGGGGCATGTCCCCTTGGTCCCCCCAGCAGAGCCTTGCAAGCAGCTTGATGGGGCCTTGGCGGTTGATATTTGGGACCTCAGAAAAAAGGGAAAAAAAAAACCACAACCAGGTGAAAAATTCAAGCACTTTTTCTGCTGCCCCTCTCTCCCCATCCCCGTGTGTGGGGTGACCGTAACCCACTCGTGTGAGTGGTAGATCCATTTTATTTCCAGACGTGATTGTTCAGGTGGAGAAATCCAAGATGTTGTATGATTTAACCTTCTCGTGTCCTTCCAAACCAACACCTCCTCCAAAAAACCAGGTCCCTGCAGGCACTGATAAATTCAGATGCTGTGGGAAACGTTCTCCTCCTTCTGACTCTTGCTCTTTGGAGGGGTCTCTGCGATGCTTTAGGGCTTTAGGTTGCTTGTTCCTCATTAAAGTCGCAAAATTTGGATGCCTTGGCGTGCTCTGCTCTCTGGTAGGGTCTATATAACATCTGTGAGCTGTTGTCTACATTCCAAAGAGGTTTAAATAAATGATAAATCTATGTATACATATATGTTATAACGGAATATCTCTTAAAAAAAAACTGAGCTGAGGTAGCTTAGAGATGTAGCGAAGTGTGTGTGTGTCCGTGTGTTGTGTTTTGTTTCGTTTCGTTTTGTTTTTTAAAGGATACAAAAAAAAAAGACAAAAAAAGTCCCTCCTGCATTGAATTCTTAAAGAAGGAGGGGATTGGTTTTGTTTTAATTGCTGATGCTGGCACATCATTTTGCTGGAGAGTTTTTTATATACTGTAGCCTTATTTCATATCGTATTTTAAACCATGTGAAATTAAAAGAGGAATAATTCATAGCCCCCCGTGTCGGTGTGCTCATTGGTTGCCTTTACTCTTTACATTTGGGGAGCAAAGTGGAAAAACGATGAAAAACCTCTGAAATCCCAGCGACTTTGATTTTTTTCTGAATTTTTTTTTTTTTAATTGAATAAAATCATGTGGTTATAGGAAATGGGGGTCTGGCATTGCAGGCTCTGCTCTTGGGGGCTGGAGATGGAAGATGCTCACTCCACTTTGGGAGCAGGACTCGTGGGTCATCCTTGGGGCCTGTCACCACTCAGCATCGCTGTCCTGGAGGCAAGTCCAGGGTTTCAAAACCATCTTTCATCCTGAATCATCGCCGGCAGCTTGCGATATCTGTGGTTTACCACCCCAAATGACTTTTCTAGTAGTATTTTTTTCATCCTGCTCTTGGGGAAAAGGGGTAGCCCACTCCCAAAGCCCCGTGGCCACCAGGTCACCCTCGCCGCAGCGTGAAGATGCTGCTGGGCATCTGCTTGTCTACTGGAGACCTCGGGTTGTGGGCCATCAAGAGGAAAAATCTGCCTCTGGGCTCCTAATAGATCGAATGAGGCCATTGCGCTTCACATCGTTG